TCAAATGAACCAGAAAAGATGAAAAAAATGAATTCGATGAAAAACTTGTTCACCTGAATCTAATGAAATTGTTTAACTAAAACTTGATTAACATTTAAAAAGATTAAATGTTGCTTCGAAAAAAGTAAATCTACTTGAAGCTGAATAATTGTGAATAATTTTGTGTTCACCAAAGTCTCATGAAATATTAATCCTTCAGCAAAAGTTGTAGAGCAAAAGGAAGGGGAAAAATGTTTCTGTTCCTTCGCGGATTACCTTTCAGCATTCATCTTAATTATCATGTAAAAATGTTCAATATTGTTCAATTTTATCCAATTCTCCAATTTACTTGTTGTTCAATATTGATATGAATTGGCAGTAAAGGTTTCATGATATAAATGTATATATAAATGTTGAAGGTTACTGGTTAATTCATTTATACACTCTTCAGTTTAATGAATCTGAATTGCATTTAAAAATCCTGCAGGGAATCAATATTTAACTAGTTAGCAAGGTGGAATTAGTACATTTCTGCCTCCCTTTGGGGATGATTTGGGAAGATGAAAGAGAGCAAAAAGTATTTCATCAGAAAATATCATCAACATGGTAAAAGAGTTGAAATGCAAATACAGTTGAGGATAGACAGGAAAGGAGAGGGTAAAAAAGAGCACAACTAATTGAATAACTAAAATAACAATTGATAACATTTTATTCAGAGAAGTGAGATTGTCAATAAATCTCAATTCCTACTTTGAATCCAACAAATGATATTCAAATTCAAGTGAATATTTTTACATTTTTATCAAAAAAATAGAAGAGAAAATCAAATTTGGTGAAAAAAAAGGCAAGTAACAATCAATGTGTGAAATGATTTTACCAATAGAGACATTTTGAGACAGCTTAAAGGTGGGATAAAAATGATCAGAAAAACTGTAAACAATAAAAATACTGAAAATGCAAATTGACTGAGCATGTAAAATCGTCAGCCTGGAACAGGGTGAAGTAAAAAGGTTTAAAAGTTGAAACAAGCAAAATGACAAAACTCTGAGAAAAGGTAAAACTCAAGGTTTGCATTTCTGTAAATTGTGTGAGAAAAGTGAATAAATTAAAATCTCAAAAAGGGTTTAATTTTCAGAGTAAATCAAGAGAAGACATAATTTTTTCATAACAATTAGAGTTAATTAAGTTTTTGCAAACTTTTCGTGTTATTACATCCAATAAAAGTAGACTTTTGTTGTCAAAATGTAAACTCGCAGGTAAATAATATTACCTTTGATGTTGTTACTATTTGTTAGCAAATGTTAGCAATTTTTCATTCTGTTGTTTTACTCAGCTAATCTCATGTCCTTGGGTGAAAAGAAAACTAAATTTGTTCAATTTTGTGGATTGTTCAATTTTTGGTGGAATCACATTTTTAGGAGAAAAAGAAATTGAATGAAAAATTTTTCATCGTAAGTTGGTAATCAATGGATAGGTAATCAATTTCAGTCTAATTTATTGGCTTTTTTGCACCACAATGAATGACGTAAACAAGTTGAAAATAATGAAAAGATAAAATCATCTGAAATGTAATTAATGATTTTTAACGCAAAAAATATATTTTTTTGCTTTTTGTTTTTCAGCTTTTTTGCTGATTACCTTGAACAGGCTAAAACTGTAAGATATAATGATGAAAGATCCTTGACTAAGGTAAACTAGGCAAAACACGCAACCTCATTTTTCATTATATTAATACACATTGAAATAATCTGAGTGGAAAAATAACATGAAAATCTTAATGAAGCTAATAGAAAGTGAATGAAAGAGTTGAACAAAAATGAAAAGATTTTCATTTCCATCAAAGAAAAAGATCTTGTTTTTACATGGAAAAACTGAAATGGTTCAAACATGGAAAGTAATTTGGTTATAGTTTGGTAATTTTGTCAGAAATTTGATTCCAATGTAAACTTTGATAGGAAATGATCAAAGTTGAGCAAATTTTTCATGGAAATTTCAGAAACTTTCTTTAGTCTTTTCAAAGGTCGTTGAGTTTCAATGCGCTGTATAAAGCTAATCATCATTGAGATTAACTTATTCATTTGGCTTTCACATATTCATTTAAGCTGACTTTTCTTTGGTTAATCCTATTATTTTGGTAACAGGTTAAACAAAAGAGCAATCATTCAATTGTGAATTTAGTTGATTGCTATTCACCTACATGTATTATTTTGTTCAAATGCTCAACTTTGTTTCAACACTTGGATGTTACAAGCGCTTTTACCATTGTGTACACAAGCAGACATTTAATTGATTCATGGTGATATTATTTACTATTTTCACCAAACAAAAGACTGAAAAGGAAATAAAATAATAAAAAAAATATTGAACTTCATTAACAATTGTTATTTGTGTTTCTACAATTAACAACAAAAGCCGTAAATAAACAATGCCATTAATATTGGGTTGAAATGATCAAATGATATTCTGTCAAGTTGATGAAATATGGCAAAAGTTGTTGATTGAAAAGTAGGAAATGATCAAAAATGGAAATACAAATAATCAATTGACTTTTAATTGGGTTAAATGTAATTTTACCAGAAAATTAGTCGACAATTAAAGGTTTAATATCAATTTTTGATGTGAAAGTTTCATGGAAAGTGAATGAAAGTCATTGAATGGAATGATTTAATGAAAGCTAAAAATTGCAAACCGATTGACAAATGAAGAAGGTTTGCAAATAAAAAATTTGTTGACGGTTAATTAACCAATAAAACATTTCTCTTGATTTAATCAGAGTCTCATATCCTGAGTTAAGGTTTAACATGTTCAAGAAAATGATTCAGTAATTAAATTAGCTTCATGTGAGCAATTGGAGAAACCAGTTTGGACATTAAATTAAACAGACAATTTGATTAAAAACAATATAACTCGAGTCATCATTTTAAATTGTTCAAGTGATGAATCGAGTGAAAAGAGAAACCAAATAACAAGTTTAGGTAAAAAGCATGAGAGAGTAAAAAAAGATGTAATCATGTTCATGATGAACCATGAAAAAGAGTAGAATTCAAATTTCACAGTAATGCTAAATCAATTGGACTTGGAATTGTTTTGTTCAAGAAAAAGAAACGGAAAAATGATAATCAACCCAAATAGAGGCAAGTCTATGGACTAAGCAAGAAACCATTAAGAATGTCTATTAAAAGGTTAATTTTTTCAAGTTTACCTGGAATGGAGATTCAGGGTAAAACAAAGGAAAGGTTATTTATTATTTTTGTAAACACAAGGCAATAACAACCAACTGTACACCTTCAATAGCTTCTTTGTTATAAAGGAGTTACCAGGTTTTGTTTTCAGTTTTTCCTGTTTTCATCTTCTTTCTGTTCAAATATTAATAGTGAAATGGATTAATGTGATTTTACTCTCTTTTTTTGTTTCTCCTCACTATTAACTATTCAGCTTCATTCTTGATATTATCTTGCTGTTAATCAATGGAAGCAGCAAGAGATGGGAAAGGATGAGAAAATGATATTCATCTTGAAGGTGGATGAAGAAACGATCATCAGAATTGATGATGAGAGGAAGTGGAAGAAAGGATGAAAATACAAAGTGCTACACCCTGCAAGACTGGCAAATCTCTGTTAATCTGAGTTTTTATTTCAGCCAAGCTTCTCTGAAATATTAAAAACAAAAAGTTTGCGCATCCTTGAAGTGCCTTTTTATGTTAGTCAATGTCTTGGATGAAGCTAATGTTAATCAAGGTAATAAATGAACTTATCACAATATTTTCAGCTTTAATCTGTTTGCTTCAATTGTCTGCCTTTCAATCAGAGTTAATCAGTTTTCAATTTTTCATGAAAAGTTAAAATATTATCTTTTACAGTGAAATACCAGATAATGACAGTAAATTTGTCAATGGTCCCTAATTGAGGGTGGGTTTAAAAAATCTGTATTTTTCAATACGCTGCCCGGCAAATAGTACGAATAAGCTATTTCAAGTTACTGTCCTTATCTGGTATTTTACTGTAGTTGAGATAACAGTTGACTGGATTTTAGGTAACTTGAAATTTTACAGTCAATATTGATTTGTTTTGTGCTTTTGGGTTTAGTTGAAACATTGATACTTAATTTAGGTGAAACTGAAATGTTTAAGATCGATTATAAATGATCAGGTTAATTATGTGATGATATCAATTGATTATGGTTATTAATGGAGGGTGAAGGAAGCGAGAAGTAAAAATATCAAATTAATAAGAAATGATAATTGAAATTAACTTGATAATTTATTCAGCTTCTGGTCTTAATTACTGAACACTTTTACTCTTACGGCAATCAAGTTGAAATTAATTATTTTCACTCAATTTGGGTTGAAGCTGGAAACGGAAAAATGTTTAACTTGAAAGATGCAAAAAGACACACAGACTTGATTAGAGTTTGGGTAAAAGGGTTGATTATCGGTGATTAACTGTAAATTGATGGTGAACCTTGTTAAAGGTGTGCAATTTAGGTGAACAATGGTGAACTATTCTGAAGATTCTGGAGAGAGTTAATAATGGAAAAAAAGAATTAAAGTTTCCTTTGGTTGAAGCGAAAAAATCTATTGAAGAATAGCAATTATAACACAAGAAAACGATATACAGTAAAGGATAAGATGAACATTAAAGTGAAAGGTTTTTCTTGCTTTTTCTTGCTTAGTTGCAAGAAATGGTAAACATTGAGCAATGTAATTAATAAATTAAATATGTGGCTGTAATTAAATATTGCAAGAGACTTGAGTATCGATGAAATAATTTTGATGAAGTACCACACAAAATGTGTCAAAACATCTTGATTTATGCACTTTTTTTCTCGTATTTTGTGAGTAAATGTAATATGGCAAATGGAACCAAAAATGAGTGCCAATTGCTAATTGTGTTGAATTCAGGGTTCATTTGTGTGTGTGTTCAGGAAAATGGGATTGTGAATGTTTAAATAAATGATGAGGGAAAAGAGAAATGAAAGAAAAAAAGGAGAAAAGGAGAAAAAAAGGTTAATTAGTTAATTACTTTAGCATCCAGTTGAGCAAGCCCTGCAATGAGCGATGATACAATAAGAGGTACTATTAACATCTTAAGCATTCTCATGAGGATTTCACCAGGAAATTTAATCAACATTTGAGTGTCGTCAGAGAGATAAGTGTATCGGAGTAAACCACCGACAACGCCTCCGCCAACCACTGCGGCTATGGTCAAAATTAGTAACAAATTTTCCAAATTCCAGTCTATGCACTGTTTCGATTGATCCAACAGTTATGGTTAAAGTGGTCAAGTGGCGATTGAGACATAATGTTATCCAGGAAGAGCCAGAGTCCAATTATGGATATTGCCGAATAAATATGTAAAAGAAAGAGAGAGTTAATTAATTTACAAATATATTGATGTTTCAATGCGTGTGTGTATAAATTATTAGACTGTTTATCATTTCAGATGAGACATTAACAAAGCATTTTCATGTGTTACTGTTTGTGTGCTTGCTTTCATTTTCCTATTTTTTCAAGGTTTGCTGGTTTCATTAATGGTGCTTCCAATTTGACTTTTAAAGCAAATTGATTGCAAAATGATTTCTCTTTTTTTCTTGGTTCAATGGTGGAAATGAAGAAAAAAATCCTTTGAAAAACAGGAATGAAAAAAATAAGAGATTTTCACTTCTGATTGATAAGTGGGTTGGGATAAACAAGGATCTATTACTGTGAGTAAATTATGTTTGTTGAGCTGTGTTTTGGTGTAAGTAGTTTGTTAATATTCATCGCCTTTTTACCAAAACTTTCCAAGGTGATCAGGTCATAAAAACTAGTTATACATAAAGAGTATCTTCCATGTTGGAGTTGTTGGTATATACAATAGCAGGTATCGACAGTAATTATGCTGGTGATCAACATTGTCTTGATTAGGGTTAGTACAATAGGTTGGTGGATAAAAAATCAGATTCATCTTTAACATCCTAAATTGGGTTGTCCATTTTAAATGATAACATTAAATCTCTGCTTTTTCTCATCAAGCCAAACTATCTGGTCAAGGTTTTTCTCATTCAAATTTCATTATCATCTCCACTGTTTCTTTGCATCTTTTCAATGAACAGAGAGGAAGTTGGCTTTTTTTTGTTTATAACAAATGATATTTAACAAACAAAAAGGCGGGAATAGAAAACAAAAGAAAGTGAAACACACAAACAGCAAGTGATAAAAATACATATTTCTTCACTATTGATACAGAAACAATCCATTGAAATGATAGGAATTGTTTAATTGTTCAGTGGTGATGGAAGTTACTCACCCGCTGAACAACTCCAGGTCTAGGTTCAGTAAGCCGTACACAGGTTTGTACACCATTGCTACCTGAGGCAGTTGTTTTTGCCCCGGAGCCACTTTGAAGCATTGGAACACGAGCATTGGCATCCGAATCCATCGTTTACGGTTTTTTGTTTCTTTGTTTCTCTTTGTTTCTTTTCAGGTAAAAAGTTGAAGGTTTAATTTAAAACAAAACAAATGGTTGATGAAAAGTAAACTTGATTACTAGGTTAAATTGATTGTTGTTTATCAAACAAAATTGGCGCTAATAATTGATTGATATGGCAAAGTTGGTAAACTGTTGTCGTGTTGAAATTTACTGGTGCAAAACGATCAATCCACAACCCAAAGTAATAAACAAGTAATATCTTACGAAAAATAGAAACAAATCAAATTGAATATATTGTAATTATAAGATGGTGATATGGTGCAATGAATTAAAACGATGAACCACAAATTTAGACAATGAAAGGTGAACGAGAATAATCTCAATCTCTGAATAAAGTTGTTTTTCCAAATTGGCAACAAGGCTTATGGCAGTAATCACGTTAAAAATTTGAATCACGAAGAGAAAAAAATGGCTACATCAATATGAAGCTGATATGATGCATGTATTTTCTCCTCCAAATAGACAAGCAAACAAACAAAAAAAGTCAAATTTTTCCCTCTCTCCTTTATGCTTGTGATATCGTTAATTATGATGATTAGGCGGTTGATGGTAATGAATCCTTGTTGGTTGTCACTGTTACAGTTGAAGAAAAATGAAAGAAGAGAAGAAAAAAAAGAGACAAAAATTGAGCAGCAAGTTAACAAAAGATTGAAACCATAGATATAATAATAATGATACTAATGGTGAAGATGATGAATAAGTTGAATATTATGGAAAGGGAAAAAAGTAAAATAACAAACCTATGGGTAATAAGGTTAAACGGTTAGTTGAGAAATAAAGCGATAACAAAATAGCAAGACAGTTGAGGGTCACTGCAACACGTTTGGTTACTTTTCTTGGTTGTCTTATCTCAAGTAATGTCGCTTACTGATCTCCTTAGTCGTTGCTCTTCTGATTCTTTTAGTTTCCAATGATGTTGTTTATGATGACGAAAAACTTGTTCCTCCTCTTCCTTTCTTTGGTCGTAACTGTTGATGATTGTGTTAACGTTTACATAGACACTCACCAAATAACAGAGAATTAGAGAGAACAGAAGAGGAGCAAAGAAAAATAGCGAGTGTAAAGAAAGATTCTAATATTAAATTTACACAATCAGAGGATGAAAATAGGAATGCAGAAGGAGGTGGATTGGTTGGGGCGAGAAAAGGAGAAGGCGGATAAACGAAGAAGCAATAATGTTGGTACAAATGTTGTTGGTTCAATTGTTGGTACTGTTGTTGGTTAGGTTGATGGTGAGACTGTTGAATAACTTGATCAAGAGTTGGTTAATTAAAACGATGATATGGTTGGAGAGAGAGAGAAAAGGCAGACGAAGAGTATGTTGAGTTGAGAAAGGGAAAAAGTATCACTGTGTTAACAAAATTTACTCTTGTGAGTGTTTCAGTATCTATTGTTGGTGATGTTGTTCAAGTGAATGTCGAACACAAATAAACATGGAAGAGAGGGAGAGAGAAGAAATAGAGAGGAGAAAAAAAGAAGAAGAAAACGTGGAAGTAAAGATGATGATGATGATGATTATTATGTTGATATTGATGATTATGTTGACAGGTTTCACTTTTTGTGTCACAAAAACTTATGTATTTCTAGTTATTAGACAATAGAAAACAAATTTCGGTTTACTTTATTCTTCTTTTTCCAATCTTTCACTTTCTTCTTCTAAGATCACTTTTCCTTCCATTTTCCTTCCCTCTCTCCATTTTCATCTCTTTACAAGTTAATGATAATTCACTTGTAATAAGTTCAATTTCTTATCTTCTTCTCACTTTCCCACTCTGCCTCTCTCCCTCTCTCTTCTTCTGACACTCTTTCAGCCTTTCTCTCGAGATCTCTCTTGTCCCAACTATTAACTGTGATATCTGTGATAATGTTCAACTCTTACTCTTCCAATCTTAGGTAAAACTGTGATTAAGAGGACAAACTTTCTTTCACACTGTTTACTCCTTTGGATCTCCTTTGATAACTGGATTAACAATGTGACGAATTGTTGGCAATAAGTAGACGTTGATGTTAACGGGATTGTTTCAAAAGTATTGTTGAATGTTCAACTTTATTCTGGTGAAGATTATTTTGCTGAGTTAAAATTTGAAGGAAAACAAAACAATTTTCAAACCTATTTTTAAGATTGCTTATTTTGTTAGTGGCTTTTGCTTTCCAACAAGAGAAGGAATTAGGGATGAGAGAAATAAAAGAAAAGGATGAGGATGATGATGATGGTTGTGGTGATATGTTACGTTGTTGTCTCTTTGTACTTTCTTGCTAACTTTATCGGAGTACAATTAAGGTGAGTGAGGTGAAAGATAAAAAATATATATTCTGATTGGATAAAGTTTATCGGGCAAATTCGCAGGCGTAGTTAAGCTCATCATTTTGTTCATTTTTTTGCTCTTCAATAAATTAAACGCAATCTCACAATTTGATAGACAATTCAATTTTATTATCAAAATGATCCAATTGACTCCATCTCATGGTTAACAGAGATACTTTACCTTGTCAAAAATAATCATTTAAATAGTTGTTATTCAACTGTTTTTACAACAAAAAGGTGCCTTTTATAAACTCATTGGATTATGGATTCAATCAATACATTTACAATCAATCTTCATTTGTCATTTTTACAAATTCATAAGCATTTTTTATTATAATAATTATTCAATACAGTAAACCTTCTCAAAATATTAGTCACAGGTTTTTTCAGATATTCAATGAAATCGATGACAATTGACGATAATTGAAATGCTATCGATTTTTGTGCACCGAAATGATGAGGTTACTAAAATTTAACAATCAAAACTTGAAATTAATAGCGAACAATTAGCCAGAGAGGAAAGTTATTAGCTCCAACTATCATGTGAAATAGCTTGAACTATCCAAGACTTGAATTTTGTTAAGGTTTACTGCAATTCAACGAAATTTACAGATAAATAAACAGTTTGATTAATCATCGACAAATTGTTTGGCTAAAGCTTCCGCATCTTGCAGACTTAGAGGAATCATATCATCATCACTTTCATCGTCAGTGTTCATTCTCATCCTTTTCCTGGGGTTTTCATCTTCACTTTCATCTTCTTCTTGGTCAGACTCTTGCTCTTCTGAATCACCGTCTTGGTCTATATCATCCTCCTCTTCATCATCTTCATCATCTTCGTCATTTCCATAATATTCATCTGGATCTGGTAACTCATCAATATATTTAGACAGCTTCTCATCATGATCTGAGTCTTCTTCTTCGCTTTCTACTTCACTCTCCTCTTCACTTTCTGCTTGAATATCATCATTAACAAGAGACTTCCTATCAGGTTTGGATAATCCTTTACGTTCAGCAAATCTTTTCTTGGCTTCTTCAGCTTTCTGTTTCTTTTCTTCTCTTTCTTTCAAACGTTTAGCCTAAAGAGGAATAAAAAAATGAATTAAATTATGATCATTTAATAAATAGTTTTCGGAATAGTGGCAACTCATTAAACTTACTTTGTGTTTTTCTTTGATTATTTTTCTTTGTATTTCTTTATCAATTTTGTCTTCATCTTCCATAATTTCTTTTGCTATGGCAATATCTATTCCACTTTTACATTTTTCATCTAACAATTTAACTTTTTCAGATTTTTGTTGCAACGGGAATTCTTCGACTGGTTCACCTTTATCGTCAAAAACAATTTTCTTGTTTACAGACAAATTTTTCCTCAAAATTTTCTTAGCTAGAGAAGCCTGAGTTACAATTTTTCCTTTTGTCAAAGGTTCAATTGATTTTATATCAATGTCTGGAATTGTTGGAACTTTTTTGGATATAAATAAATCTTCTCCATCAGACTCGTCTGAGGCGTGACCAGTTAATGTCAACTCTTTCTTTACTTTGGGTTTATCTTCGTCAGAATTAATATTTCCATCACTATCGTCAGGGTTCAATGAAGATGAGTTTTTATTGCCTTTGAGACCCTTGTTTTCTAGAAAACGAACTCTTGGTGTCACTATTAAACCATATGATCGAGCCAAAAGGTCCTTGTCAATGGTGGTTACATCAAACACGGTTTTATCCTTCATCATGTAAACATCCTTTAAATATTGTTTGAATGCTCTTTGAGCTGTTTCTTTAAGGGAAACATCACGGGCAAGTAACGCGTCTGCTTTCCTTATCATGGATTTTTGCATATATTGAGGTATCGTACTTTTTTGGATTGGAACTTTACGAGCTTCCAATTGTTCAACCATTGACTTTTCTTCGGAAGGTAAAAGGAAAAGGAGAGATTCACCGCCTTTATGGTATCGAGCAGTGCGACCTGCTCTATGAATGTACTGGCTAGTATCTTCTGGACAATCATATTGGACAACCCAATCAACAGCTGGAAAATCAAGTCCCCTAGAGGCGATGTCAGTAGCAACCAGACAGGCTTTTTTGCTACTCTTAAATTCATTGTAAATATTCATTCTTCTAAGTTGATGTAGAGTTCCATACAGAGGTAACATTGTCGTTCCTGGTTTTAATCGGCAAAAGAGTTGGTGAATGAACTTAGCTTGTTTACATGTTGACACGAAAACCAAAATTTTCTTAGTTACGTTAGCTTTTATAAAAGACCAAAGGAGGTTTAATTTTTGATGAGCTTCACAAACAATGTACTTCTGAACTAAACCTTCAGGAGTAACGGAATGAGAGTTTTCATGGACAGCAATATATTTTGGATCAACCAGACTAAGACGAGCTAAATCTTTCACTGATTTAGTTTGAGTTGCCGAAAAAAGGAGAGTTTGCCTTTCTTTAGGCAGATTTTCAATTATACTGTCCATTGTTTTCTTGAAACCCATATCTGAAAGAAATAGGAAAAATATTTAAATCTAGACACAATAAACCAAGCATCGAAAAATTCTTACCTAAAATTCGGTCAGCTTCATCCAAAACCAAAATTTTCATATTGTCACAATTGAAAAGAGCATTTTCATGCATATGTTGCAAAATTCGTCCTGGAGTACAGATAACTATATTACACTTATTCATTCGATGTCTTTCGAATTTCAAATCTTTTCCACCGATAATCAAACCAACCGAAAAGTCATGGTATGCACCGATTTTGTTGATGGTTTCAAATATTTGGTAAGCAAGTTCCCTCGTTGGTGTAATAATTAAACCACCGACACCATCTAGATGAGTCCATTTCTCTTTTTCCAACTTTTCAAGGATAGGTATGAGAAAGGCCAATGTTTTACCCGATCCAGTTTTGGCAGCTCCTAAAATATCATCACCATTTAAAGCAGATTCAAGTGTTGCCGATTGAATTTCAGTTGGAACTAAATAACCAGCGTCTGTTAATCCTCTCAGTGTTTTGGTTGAAAGGTTGAAAACTTTAAATTCACTTTTATCCAAACCAGATTTATTGTTGGATTTTTTACCCTTTCCTTTTCTCATACCTTTAGCATCGTTTCTCGATAGTTTACGTTGACCAAAAGCCATTTTGATTGAATAATAAATTAATAGCACTATTAGAAATTTAAATAACAAAATATTCAAAACATTACACACATGTTTCTAGAAATGGACTTACACATGTTTTTTGGCAAAAACCCAAGCAAAGCGACATCTGCTGAGTAAACTAAACTTCAACAGCAGTAACAAATTAAAGGATTGTTTTTTTATTTATTCAATCTGATGTAGTCGTATTTAGCTGAAAGCTTTTTTAATTATTTTGTTATAAATCCTTTCTTGTCATCTTATTATTTTCATCAATTAGAGTTTGTTAATCATCATTATGGCTTTTGGATACCTTAAGGACTATGAGTGGGCTAGTGAGTTCACTATTGAAAATGAAATTGGCCAATCTTGTCAACCAGATGAAATTGCTTTTCTTGATTGGGAATCTTTGGATGCTGGTTCATCTTCAAAATCATCCTCATCTAATCGAACCACAAGTGGTGAGCTTTCATTGAACAACTATTTAGACCAAAGCAAATTGACCATTCAACCTAATGATAAAGCCAGATTAGGGGAAATAAAAGACGTCGAAACATTGAATTTACGCTTATCTGCTTACCTGGAAAGTGCCAAACTCACTGAGTTCCATATTGAAGAATTGATGCAATTGATCATAAGTTTGCTCAATGATAAAAGCAAACCTCATTCACACCTGGAATCTGAATTAATGGATCTTCTTGGATTTGGTGCAATTGATTTGATTCGAGAGATCATTCAAAATCACCAGTCAATTATCAAATCTCACAAGTCGCTGTATCAAGAAGCTTACCCAGGAGACCAAGGAGACTCAACTGCTGAAGCTTTAGCTAAACTGAATTCACTGCAGCCTAATCAACCCAAGAAGCCTTCAATAACTCAATCAGTGGTGGTACAAACAATTGAAGAGAAAAATTTGAAAAAATTGATTCGTAAATGTGAGAAGAAATGATGAAAGAATTAAAAATGAAGCCCATGATATA